CATTTCATTACTTCCAAGAGCAGAGTCACTTTTCCACAAGTGTCTGCAGGCAGTGAAGGGTGATATAGATGTGGGACGTTATGGTCTGTAGGAAGTGAAGGGTGATTTAGATTTGGGACGTTTTGGGCTGCAGGCAGTGAAGGGTGATATAGATGTGGGACCTTGTGGGATCTTGCTCTCCTAACTTATGTTTTTTGATGATTGATTAATTTGTTTTGCTTTCTTCAACATGCGAACGGAGGTATAAAGTGGTAGACGGTGTATCCCCACCGCAATGTGAGTCCTACTTCTGCAGTCACATCCAAAACCCAGGGCACATTTTATATCACACATTATAGTTTGTACCCTGGGGATCCTTTTAATTTATGAAGAATCTTCAATTTCGTTTGGCCTCGTTTTGTTCAATAAAATGTCGTTTATCACCAGTTTGGAATTGCTGTTTTTAACGCAGACCTGTTGATTTTAAATTTTGCTTAACTATTTAAGTATCAGTTTTTATAGTGGTAAGCGGCAAGTTTAAGGGCTTACGTGGCTAAAATCCAGGATTCGAATTCCAACAGTGGACAGATATCCTACTGCGTATGTTTATGCTAAAACAACATTTTTACACTAAGTTTATTTGGATGTTTTATGATTTAAGGTGGCTCGATAAAAACAACAAACAAAAAAACCAGTGGAAGGTTAAGACGACGAATGTGACGCTATACTGTAACACGCTACGCACCTTTAACTCGAATTGAACGTGGCCTAGTGGTTAGCCTGCCGATGTGTCAATCTGATGGTCTCCGATTTGCGTATCGCACTTTGGGGCCGTGAGTACAATATCAGAATATCATATCATACTGTTTGATTGCTTTAGTGCAAGAGATGGCAGTGGGTGCTCTTTACTCGGTATCTTCCTTCTAGGCTATAAGTTCAGAATAATGTTAGGCTATTGCAGGTAACCCATTTGTACCTTTTAGCCAATTTCCGAAACACCCACTTTCAGCTGTGGGCGCTTTATGAAAGGTGACAGTCAATCTCGTTATTCGGTTAAGAATAGCCACGTAGATGGCAGCAGTTCAAAATTAGGGACGATTATACCAGGAACTTGAGGCTTCTGACCCTACAGTTTAACTCGTGTCGAATAAGGTGCCGTTCAAGTCGAGAATTCCAAAACTCTATTTACTATCTGATGTTCTATAAACAGACAATGAAAAAAAAAATCTGCCTTTCTTTTAACGTACGATATAAATATTTTCTCGATACTAATGTTTTTTTATTCACAATATTCCGCACTTTGAGCACTCGTATTTAAATAATTCCTCGTTCTGTCGTACACTTAGCGCCATCTCTTGACAATCACTTGAAATATTTGTGTGCCTGTTTTTTTGTGGACATTTTTGCTATAAACCTAAGTATGGATGTAAAAAACAAAACTGTAAAGTTGATGTACTTCCGCAGAGTCCCCGAAAGTGTCCTGTTTCATGAATAAATAAAACCCAAATCAAGATATAACAAATATACATATATATATTTCTTGCTTTTCAAGTTCATACGTCATGCTGTGTTGTAGCCTACAGTGCTAATTCTTCTCATAATTCATTGCATGCGCATGTTTTACTGACGTGACGACATTACACATTGCAACTTGAAGAGTCCTTTATGTGACGCCATTTTAATGTTTACTGACTGACAGACAAGACAGTAACTGTACAGTGGTGAGAGTGATTAAACCAGGTGACCCCCTTCAAGCGCCCTTCCTTTCGGTCCCCTTACAGGATAATGACTAATTAAAAACAGAGGTGATGCTATAATAAGTTTATTATTATAAATTGGTTATGGCCAGTTTACTAAACAAATAAATACTGCTGAAAACAACAACCTTCTTTGATTAATACACTAAAAATAAATATATTCGACACTGATTTACAATCTCAAATACACTGCAAGAATCGACACTTCTCAACACGTCATCTTCAAGAATGTATATCACAAGAACATTACACTATTTATACCTACAGTCAAGTGATATGTTAATCACCATGTTGTTGTTTTTTAAACATCACATCATCTACATACATCACCCTTGTTCAACACATTATTATATTTCTTAAATTTAGTCATTGGATCATGTGTTCTATTAAACTATGTGCACTTAATGGTGAAATGCCGATTTAGTCTTTATTTTTTTACATTTGGCTAATGTATATTCATTCTATTCTAGGTTCTTTTTCAGTCTGACCTATTTATAAGTTTCTATATTCAAAAGTTTTGTAAATATCCGTTTTATGTTCATTGTAATTACTTTAGTTTTATGTGACAATTCTTAAATAAATATGAGTTGTATATATATATATAAAACTTTACGCCCAATCAATTCCTCTTATAACTGTTTAAACTACAACCTTGATAAACACTTCAACTAAGTTTTGTAATGTTATATTTCCAAATTAGACACTTAAACAAAAATCAATTCACTTTGGTGTCATAAACCTATTACTTCAAATTCAGTGTCATGAGGCAATGCAATTTAGAGCAAAAATTATATTACAACATCCAAAAAAGGAAAATTCACATAAAACTAGAACACATAATCAAATTGTTACAACTTGTTACGTTTATTTGCTTCCTATACAAATATTAGTATTTCTTTAAATTACATAGACTTATCATTGGATATCGGTTATCAGGTACTTTTGGCCACTCTTTCCTTACCTCCCACAGAACAACATGCCATAATCATTTGCATATATATAAGTCTGCATTTTGTCTCAGATATGTAGGTAATGTATTTTTGTTATTTTACTATTGAAGATGAACAACCAAAATTCCTTAAACAAGTAAACAACAATTTACAGTTAAAAAAGGAAAATAACTACACAATACATCTTTAAATAAGTGAAACAGCATGTAATTTGAACATCACTTAAAAGAAAACTAAAAACCCATTTCCAAGTGCATGAACATATGAACAACAACAACATCAACATACTAAGACACCATATAAACAACACCCACACACAACTCTGTATTTTACTTTTATAATTATTACTCCAGACATTTATAATCTTACCCAAATTTTCTCACAATATATTCCACATACTTGAATTCATCTAAGTGAAAGAAAATATATATATGAGGCTAATGTCCATCTTTCTGTAAAACTCCTCCCACAGTTCAAGTCTGATTTGAATGAAACTTTGCACAATTTTTCAACGTCATAAGGAAAAGTTCCTAACAAAATTTCATTACAATGAGTCTCTTATAAAAAAAAAAAGTTTATTTTGTGCATGTGTCCACCTTTTTTTAAAACAAATAAGTCAATAACAGCTTATATTGCACCAAAGTGAAAATGTTATAAAACAGACCCTCAATAAAATTTAAAAAATATTTTATAACATTATTTTTCCTAAATCATTTCCTTAATGGAGAAATGGTACTTCTTTCCTTTTTAACAATGTACATTAATTTTGTACATTTATTATTATTATCAACGAAATTAAGTTTTTATAAAACTTCTAAAATTGTCATAAGGCGAGTTTAATGTAGAATTTTCAAGCGAGTCTTCCTAGTGGAGAATACAAGCGTACGCTGTGAATGAAGAAACCACAAGTCATTTGTAGTACAGAGTTCACTGCATACAAATTTGCAGGAATTTTGTAGTAACTCGATCTTCATAAGTTACATAAGTATTATTTTACTTCTTTATCTGTATAAAGCGATCAAAAACATAAAAAATCCCGATGCCCAAAATTGCCAAACGAAAAAGTGAGTTATCATGAAAAAAGTCTGAAACTTTGAGAAAGAAAATGAAACATTGAATGCAAATTAAAGAAAGAGATAGACTTGCTCACCAAGTTATGAGAGATCCAGCAAGAAGAAGCCAGGAATAAACCTGGAATACAGGAGCACATCAAATTGCTTGCCAAGATGCAGTTAGAACTCAGGAGCAGTTTCGTGATAGAGAAGCACACCATTCAACTCGCAAAGATTCTGATTGAACAGCCACCAATAGGGCAGTGTTTCTACTAGTAACAAACGTTACTAATATCCACAAAAACAAAAAAACATCAACCCATGCAAGTTGATATACACATGAATAAGTAACCATTATTGATTCTTTAATTGCAACACACTGTTCACTCACTATTGTAAATTGATTTAAATACAAGAACCTTCTTTACTGTAGTAACCTGCATACTTGAGAATGGTCGTACTCATATTTTTCTTCAGGAATGGTGAATTATTCTAAAGTGCTCGAGCTTTGGATCTCGCTTGAAAACTTAAAATCAATAGGCCAACATATTGTACCAAATGACGACAATAAAAAAAAATATTGGCTACAATGGAAAATATTTTCACCAAATATATAATACACTGAGAAAAATCAACAGACCAGGCCTTCTACTCTGGGAAAATGTATAAGAACAAAGACAATATAAAAAATACAGCTACAGTGGTGGTTACAAATTAACGTGTCAATATTGCAATAATGTATAGATAGAAAAACAACAACAGGATATTCCATAGAAACAAGAGTTAAAGAAATTGATTCATCTTTCGTATCACACCTTACAGAAACTAAACACCAATTTCATCTGGAAAAAAACTGCAAAATCTTACACCTGTGCAAAAGGAAAAAAAACTAAATAGTCTGAAAATTTGAGAAATAAGTAAAAGTATAAAAACGAAACTAGACAAAATTTTGAATGACCAAATCAACTTAAGTTCCACCCAACTTCTCACCCACTTGTCTCTGGGTAAATGTCAAGGTTACTTAGGATTCTTTGGTTTAACATATATATCCCAGATGATGCTTTTACTGGTGAAACCATAGTCATAATAAATAAATTATTTTTGAAATTTACAATTGTCTGTTTTTTTTTCTATTCTATAAAACCTATTATTTTACAGTACAGCTTACAAACGGATAAAACTAACGCTTATACAACAAAACTAAAACTAATGTTTTATACCACAACTTAGAAAACCAAACCTAGATGGATGTTTCTATCTTCTTTTTTTTTCTTTACAATGACAAAAAACAGAGGTGAGTATACTAAGATAAATTCACAAATTGTTTTGACTGAAAGTACTTTTTATTTTCTGCTACATATTATCACGACATCATTTTACATATATTTGTGTGTTAATCATTTAGTTAATTATTACATATGCATCATATAAAACTATTCATAATTGTAATATATTTTACAAAGACATATGCAAATATATACATATTCTGAAAAAGTGAAACTGAAATCATGGTAAATTCCGAATCACCTCCGTTATTACTGATGACCTCAACCTATATTTTCATACTTGACCTTACAGGAATAGTGGACAATGACGCCATCTGGGAACCTTGCAAAGGCACTAAAATAGCAACAAAATAAAAATATATATCATAACAGAAAATAATACTTATAATTCCAGAATCAAGAGTTGTATTTTACGTTCAACATTTCGGCATTTAGACTTCTTTGCAGCATACATGATCAAGGATACAAATTAAACGGAATAAAGAAAAAGGAATGAGTGTTAAAATACTCTCATGCGATAGTAGAAAATGAATTAATATACACGGTCATAATGTCAGGAAGCATTGTCTGCAGGATAATAATTTCTAAATTGATTAATTATTAATAAGAACTACTAAGTAAAACTAAAGAAGAGTGTATAATATGTCAACAATACTATATCTAGTGCTGCCACCTTTCATCCAATACCAAGGCACTTCCAAGTGAACTGAGATGTGAGAGACATATTGTTATGCTGGTTGAGATGCTATTTATGCTAAGAAACTGCTTATTAACAAATATGATGGTTCGATATGGATTAAGTTGGTAAAGTAATTTTTCAGTTTTATATATGTCACCGCACATCAGAATTAGGGTTAAGGTTTTTTTAACACTATCATTTATTTGTTAATCTATTTTAACAACATATGTTTTAATTATTTTCTTGAATTAAACTGCTCATCATTCAGAAGAAAAGGCAAAACAGCAAGCTAGTTTAGATATAAGGTCTAGAAAAAAAAAAGCTAGTTAACTAGATAAATCGAGCCTTTTTTTTTTTTTAAATCAAGAAGTAACAAATCTTTCAAGTTCACACATTTGACATAATAACAAAGAGTACATCAATGAAATAGTTAGTCCTAAATAAAAAATGAAGAAAAGTTTTTCTTAAAGTAGTTAACCAGTATATAAGTAAATCTTTGGCTTTATCTCTTTAATCAATACAGTTTCTTTATATATACAGAAAGCGAGAGGAATTGTTGTAGTAGGAAGGTTGTTTCTCCACAAAATGTTTTGCTATGGAATTTTCTTCAGCAGTTCGTACTTTAGGGAAAACAACGTTATTTCCAAATAAGCATTTCCACAGAAAAGGAAGAACTTTATAAAAAAAATAACATGAAAAAAGTGACAAGTAAGAAATTGTACACCTAATTATCATTCATTGTAAAATATAGCACAATATAAACAGAAAAATTATTGTAAACCAAACAAACATATTGAAAAAGATTATTGTTTACTATTTTTTAGTGCAGACACTATTCACAATGACACTTTGGCAGGTTAAATTTAACCAAACACCATACAAGATCACAGATTAGAAAATATTTCTTAAACTTATTTTAATATTTATTTCTGTTGAGGTTGTTTAATATTATTTACCATGATGTATTAGGGTGAAAATATAGTTGTCTAAAATACTCTATGATTATAAACAAAACCTTACATTTAAAATTATATTTAAAAACTAATTGTTCTAGAGAGCTATTTTTCTTGAGAGGCAAATTTGAAAATTATAAATTTTATTGAAGAAAGTTTGGACATATGATCCTGCATTAGTTTGTTAAGCCTATCCCTAAATGAAGTTACTGCACCCATCATTTTGTTCTTGAAAGTATTAATTGGTCCATGCAATATTTTGCATAATGGTAGGCACTTTACTCAAATTTCCAATCTCTTTTTGATGAAAGAGAGAATTAAAAGTTTGGATGTAAGAGGATTCAGATATGTTGTTTAACATGGTTTTAAAACACAGCATACCATGTCTCAGCTTCCCCCCCCCAAAAAAAAACAAAAAACAAACAAGCTTCTGGGGTAATTTGGTTTGCTAGGACACACAGTTTTTAATATATAATCATTTTAAGCATAAATAGCATAATTAAACATTATGTATCTTGACTCCTAGAAAACAACTTCTATTAAACATTGTTTTTTCACAAATATGGTGATCCAAAGTCTTAACTTTTCAAAATTACATATATTTTGCTATTTATTAAAATGCAAAGTTAAATAACTTATAAATCACCTGAGTACACATATCTGTGTTTTGGTTATATTTGTGTGTGTGTGTTTTATATAAATATCTTTACTTGGGCTCAAACTTCATATTTCTTATCAGCCAAGAAAAGGTGTGCACGTCTAATTTACTGCTCAACAGTTAGTAGTATTGTGAAGCTGAGAAACTGTTCAGACATATTTAACATTTAAGTTATTTCTTCAATGTTCAAATAAGGAAATCAACAAAAAATTAGAAACTGTTAAAGAAAAGTTTGAGCTTTAGATAATAATGTAGGGTCAATTATATGGTTGATAAACATGTATATTAAAATAAAAAAATGATTTTTCACATATCTTTGATTTCACTCAATGATATGTACTATCAGTCACAATGTTTGTGACCAAATGCTATAAATAAAATAAGGAATTATATAGAAGATGAAATCTCATTCTTATGCGTTTGTTACCTATATTTTCCCAGTTTTAAAAATATCAGTCTTTTTAGTCAATGGTCTGTTTCTCTCAACATACACTTGACTTGAAATTAATATTTTGTGGTTTAAATGCTGTAAGTAAGAAACACGTGTATGTGAAATTCATTTTCTCAAAAATAATAAAAATTAACAAAAACACTTGCCTTTTCCCAATCCTCTTTTGACATACCCTGCATATGTCAAACTCTCCAATAACTATTTTGTGAGAATGACACTGTATGCGTTGTTCTTGTACCTTAAAATAAATGTAAAATTTAGTGCTATAGATCAATTCAAATATTTGAATTGCAATAAACCTCTTACTATAGTTTTAATAAATAAAACCTGATGCATACTAAAACTGATTTTTCATAAAGTCAGACAGAATGTTTATTAACAGTAGCAAAAGACTAAACAGCTTACAGTTTGACATTTAAGCTCTTCTTAAACATTGTACAGGGTGCCTAGTTAAAGACTACAACAAGAATTAAATTTCATAACCACAAAGGATATTTAATTAAATCTCAGTAAAAACATTAGAACATCAACATCATGAAATAATTGAAACAATATTAACAGCATGTTGGATATTTAGTTAGAGCTTGGTAAAAGGACTAACAGCACCAATACCACAGAAGAACAAACTATTACCAGTATGTAGGATATTTAGTCAGAACTCAGTAAAAGGACTACAATAACATCAACACCATGGAAGGAGTGAAACAATATCACCAGTATGTAGGATATTTAGTCAGAACTCAGTAAAAGGACTACAACATCAACACCATGGAAGGAGTGAAACAATATTACCAGTATGTAGGATATTTAGTCAGAACTCAGTAAAAGGACTACAACAACATCAACACCATGGAAGGAGTGAAACAATATCACCGGTATGAAGGATATTTAGTCAGAACTCAGTAAAAGGACTACAATATCAACACCATGGAAGGAGTGAAACAATATCACCCATACCAGGATATTTAGTCAGAACTCAGTAAAAGGACTACAACATCAACACCATGGAAGGAGTGAAACAATATCACC